AGAGGAGACCACATCTGGAGGGGAAACGGGTGTGGATGGGGATAGGGGAGGCGGGAGCTCCGACAGCTGGCCCAGTCTGGAATCAGACAAGCTACGGGGCATTGTTGCCCAGAAGCCCCAGTGTCTGAGAGAAAGCTGGGGGAAAACTGAGGTTTCAAATAAGGGCGTGTCTGGCTGGGGCTCTGGCCAGGGACAGGCGCCCGGCTCTGGAATCTGACATTGTCCCGGGTTGCTTGTTCGCACTCAGGTCTTGAAATGACTCTCCCACCCCCAACCCTCGCCAGTGTGCACAAGTTGAGTGAGCAGGTTACTGAGGGTGTGCACGGGAGTGTGCTGGGTGTGAATGTGTATGCGTTTGAGTGTGGGCGCCTCTGATTATATGTGCGTGTGTGTACCTGTGTGTGTATATAAATCCCTGTGAGAGCTGTGTGTGGGGGGGTGCGCATGCATGTGTCTTTGAGTAGGAGTGTTTGTGCTCTTATGATTGTGTGAGAGCATTGTGTACGTATGAATTGGTGTAAGTGTCTGTGTGTGGGTATGCATGTACATATATGGGTGCTTGTGTGTGTACTCGTGTGTGTGAACATCTTGTGAATGTGTGTGTATGTGTTTGTGTGTGTGTGTGCGCGCGCGTGAGCAACTCCAAGGGGCGCACTGAGAGTTAGTGAGCCCCGGGGACAGTTAGGGAAGAAAACGTGCCCAGGAGGGCGCTGGACTTTGCCTTCCGGAGGTATTTGAGTCTTTCCAGATAGATGTCAGATTCACTTCACCAGCAAGGTGAGTGAGGCAAATCCACGTCGGGACCCTGTTGCAGGCAGGCAGGCAGGCAGGAAGGATCTCAGTTCACCTTGTCTGGGTCAGTGCTTCCAGGCTTTCTCGGTTGTTTTGTCTGCGAAGACCCAATCTCAGCAAGGAATGAATGGAAGCAGCTGGGCTTTGTATTACAAGTCCTTTTCCTTTCTCCCGGACAGACTCACAGGTACCCCCGAGGAAACTTCTCTGTTCCGGGTGCTGGGGTTTTAAGGGTCAGGCGTTCATCTGGAAGGATTAGAGGCTGTTTTAAAAATTATATTAGTAATAACAGTAAAAATACTTTTCAGATCAAAATCTCCAAGCGCACCCATGGGTCCGTAGAAGAGAGATAACATTGAGAGGTGTTAAGCAATCACTGAGGTTGAGAATTTGAGCTGGATCTCTGTGCCAAAAAGCCAATGGGTGGAGAATTTTACCTTTGAGGGAGAGAGAATAACAAAATTCTTAATTAAGGCACTGTCATAGTGTTATGGGAGGCAAGAGCACCCTTGAAAAGTCCAGGGTTCTCCTTTTTAAGTGGTTTAGAGTCTGAAGACTGTGCCCATTCTCATTCTCTTAGTCGAGAGTACGACTTACTTCCTCAGAGCCCTCCTTTGCCCCCCCCCAAAAAAAGGATCAAAAAGAAGGAACAGGGAGAACTTCTCTAGTCAAGTTATTAGAAAGAATCACTAACTAATCACTTTCTTAGTTTCTGTGAGAAAACTTGAGGATCCAGGACACAGTTTGTGATGTTGAGATCCCCTGACAGTTTGCCCATGCCCTGGAGGGTTCTCGTTCTGGGAGCATCCTCCTCCTACTGAAATTTGTCATTTTCAGTAGATTGAAGACTGGCATGTTTTCTCTTCTTCCTTGGATTGCATTGTTATTGTTATGCTTTTGGGGGAAGCCGAGGCGTGGAAGATTTTCACATTTTAATGGTTGCCCTCAGTTTTAACTAGGAAGGAATTTGTAAGAAGAAACCCAGCATTTCTGGTTCTTCAAAAGGAAGGAAGCTGGGCTAGCACTTCGTTGGGGTGGGGGGAGAGGTTCTTGGGTCAATGTGCTGCACTGGGGTACTCAGGGCAGTGGGGGGGAGTGGTATAATCAAAAGAGAACCTCACTAGCTGAGGGATCCTGATCAAGTCACCCCTCTGGGCTTCAGTTTGCACAATTGTAAAAATGAAGGGATTGGACTGAATTAACTTTAAAGTTTCTTTACAGATCAAATTCCTAAACCTGCCCCGTACATCCTGCTTTGGAAAGTTAAGATGAAAGACTGAGAAATTCACATAAAAGAAAATATAGGCAAAAAGAATAATAGCTATTATTTATATAATGCCTTAAGGTTTGCAAAACTCTTCCCATATTATCTCATTTGATTATCACAAACCTGTTAGGAAGATGTTATTATTGTCCTTACTTTACAAATGAGGAAACTGAGGCATGAAGAAGTTAAGTGACTTGCCTAGGTTCACCAAGCACAAAGTATCTGAGGCAGAATTGGAACTCAGGTCTTCCTGATTCCTGACTATTGCCTAGTATATATACACACATGTATATATGTACACACATATATATGTATATACACATATATGTACATATGTATACACATATATACATGTACATATATGTATATACACCCATGTGTATATATACATATATGTACATGTGTATGCACACATATATGTATTTGTGTGTATGTGTATGTACATATATATGCATATATATAAACTCTCTCCCTCTCTTTCTCTATAGATGTAGATCAATAGATAGAGATCTATAAAGATAGATAAAGTATTTAATGAAATTAAAACAACTCTGAGGTACTACCTCACACATATCAGATTGGTTAATATGACAAAAAAAAGGAAAATGATAAATGTTGGAGAAGATGTGGGAAAATTGGAACACTAATGTATGGAGTTGTGAACTGATCCAACCATTCCGGAGAGCAAGTTGGAACTATGCCCAAAGAGCTATAAAAATGTGCATACCCTTTGACCCAGCAATAGCACTGCTAGGGCTGTACCCCAAAGAGATCATAAAATGGGGAAAGGACCCACATGTACAAAAATATTTAGAGCAGTTCTTTTTGTGATGGCAAAGAATTGGAAACTGAGGGAATGCCCCTCAATTGGGGAATGACTGAACAAGTTGTGGTATATGAATGTAGTGGAATACTACTATGCTCTAAGAAATGATGAGCAAGTGGACGTCAGAAAAACCTGGACAGACTTGTATGGATTGATGCTGAATGAAGTGAGCAGAAGCAGGAGAACATTGCGCACAGTAATAGCAACATTGTGTGATGACCGACTTTGATAGACTTAGTTCTTCTCAGCAATACAATGATCTAAGACAATTCTAAAAGACGCATGATGGAAAATGTTATTCACATCCAGAGAAAGAACTATGCAGATCAAAGCATACTATTTGCTCTTTTTTGTGTCTTTTTTCTTTCTCATGGTTTTTCCCTTCTGTTCTGATTCTTCCTTCACAACATGACTAATGTGGAAATATGTTTAATATGATCAGATAGCCTGTATCATATTGCATGCCATCTTGGGGGAGGCAGGAAGGGAAGGGAAAGTGAAAAAATTTGGAACTCAAAATCTTATAAAAATAAATGTTGAAAACTATCTTTACATGTGATTGGAAAAAATAAAATACTATTAAGTGGGAAAAATTTTTAAAAAAGATAAAATATCTAAATGAAGATATTTATATAGATATATTTAAACACGTAGCTATATATAGATAGATATAGATATGGACATACAAATGTAGAAATAAAGAAAGGAAAAGGGACATTTTGAACAATTTTTGATGAACCACTTGATGCAATTCAATTATTGGAAATTCAGTTTTATATTAGGCATAGTATGGAGAAGCCAATGAAGATTGAGACACAGATGACATCTTCAAGGAATTTATAATCTAGTAGGACAGATAAGAGGAGTATGCAAATAACTGTAAAACAAAGTAGAATGAGATAAGTACTCTAATAGGTACAATCAAAATGGTATGGGGTTCAAGAAAGGGGCCGGAAGTACAATAAGTTGTAAAGACATTTGAGGAAGGTTGAATAAAGTACTGTAATATCTTTTTCCTTCCTTTCTACAAACTCAACACTCACAAATAAAATAACTATCAAGCACAGAGCCATAATTCCACTCTTGCACATTTCTGAAAAGAAAATTATCCTAGGTATAAATACACTTGTATATGCAATAAAACTATCACCTAGATAAATAAACCGGCTCCAAGAGAACATCTCAACCCTAACGTAGCATTGTGCAGACAGAAAAAAAATTAAAGAGTTAATCAGAAATTCACTTGCTGAAACATTTTCCTGCAAAAAAAAATGGCACATATATATATATAGACTCATAAACGGATCCATTCATCAAGGTAGATTAAGCCAAAGCATAGGCAAAAGCAATCAGATACAAAAGCCAGCCTTGTGTTTTTGATTGCATGTGTAATAAA